ATAACTCATTTTCTTAGCATACATCACCTTGTAGCTACTAGCTAGGTATCTAAGACACTAACAAATAACAAATGATAGTGTCAAACACCAAAATTAATGAGGTTATTTTCATATTATCAATTTCTACAAACTTTAATTTGTATTCATGCCATAAATCTTATATCCTTGTGTGTTATCTCAAATATGCAATATTGAAAGATTAAGAGAAAATAACATAATACGTTATGATATACAATTCTATAAATATGTGAAGTGGCAGGGGGAGAAGGAAATCATACCTTCTGATTAATAAGTCTCAATGAAATTCACCTTCTAAGAAGGTTTATCTCAGAATTATTGTATTGTTTACATACTCAGTTTCCTTCAACTCCACAAAAAAGACAATTGATACAATTCATATAATCGCAACTACATGTTCCCTTAATATATTTTGAATGTCCAGCATCTAGTGGATTACAATATTGATTTACCCATACGTTTAAGAAATAAAACTCATTCACAGTCATGTCGTAGCACTCATGTTTTTTCCAGTTATTTACATAGTAAAGTATATCCAGATTACGACTGACAAACACTTCCACTCGTAAGAATGATATGACAATTTGGACACTGCTAATGGCATTCTTCACCAATAATTTTAAGACGTGAAGGATCAGTTTTTGCAATTTTACAACCATGAGTCATTCACCTAAGTGAATATACAATAGACAAGTAATAAGTAATCATATAAATGATGTAAGAAATAATGCAAGTAGATACAAACAACATATGTTAAGTCCATACCTTCAATCTAGGAAAACAAAATCTCAATAATAGGTGAGTTTAATGATTTGGAAATTGATAGTCCCTACTTGCTAAATCACTGATAGAGTTTTCGTCTCCCGCCAATTCATACAAATAAGTAACCAACATATGTAAAAAGTGTAGCAAATAAAGCTATTAACCTACAATTTATTTGAGCTCTTAGTAAGGAGCCAATGAAAATAAGTACTAACTTGGACCCAACTCTCAAGATAACATTGAATAATTTCCACGAACGAACATGAAACTTTCTACATTCTCTAATGAGTCCCAGTTTTTAAAACAATCAATTATTTCAACGTAAGTCTCCAATGAGGTATATGTGCTTTGTGGCATGACTCCTAGCTATAGTATATGTAAAATGGTTTTCAATAAAGCACTCGTGCAATTTATATATACTTTGCATAAAAGATTGCCTATATAGAATGAAAGATTTTTAGTCATGTTGTATATGTGTTAAGCATAGATATAATATTGACATTTGAGTTATGCACCAAACATGTTCACAAATATGGATGATAATGAAGTGATAGTTAACAATGTCCTATTGTCGTGGCACAGAATACAAACACTTATTGAAGAGATGGAAGGTCTACACCAAGCAGCTCAAGCGCAATTAAAACCTAAGAGCTTAGAGCTGCAAAAGTTGTTAGAAATGCAATCCTAGAGTACCCAAACCTTTGATGATTTATTGTCATAACTCATAAAAAATGAGAAAGAAGTGAGAATTGTGCTTAAGGTTGTCCTCTACCTGTCAAAAGAAATAAGATATGTACGTGTTTCTCGTGCAATTTTCTAGGGAGCCAAAATGTCATTCAAAGTTATCATTGAGTCTGTGCAGGAGCTCACAATAGATAGGATTATTTTTATTTTATTTTATTTTATGAAACTCACATTTGTCAGGGAGGTTAAATTTGTTTTTACTCCCCGAGTACGACTTAAAAATAACAAATATGAGCTGACATTCTCTTTATGTGAAGAGACAGGCATATATCCCCAAATTAACATATTATGATTCTAGTATTGTACAACCACTACCAACTCAATTATGAGGCGTATGACCGCACTCCACTGTTAGACTCGACCTTATTTAAGACTAAAATGGTAAGGAAAATGTAAAGTACGTAGGTTACCGTATGCACACATACTGCCGCCATGAGCGTTTTAGACAAAGTATGATAAATGTGGTCGATAGAAAGCATGGATTGTCTATTAGAGTCCTAAGAACATAACATAAAAGAGGAAGGAGGAGGAGATTTATAAAAGTATCTGAAAAACTTGTTTATTTAACATTACATTTACTTCATGCTCAGACATTCTCATTCTTTTTGCTCTATGAATTATGTTATCCAATTTGCAAAAGACCAACTTTTGCTCAAATTCTTGAAGCATTGATCCTTCAAAAAATTGTTGTCATGTACGAATGGACTTTAACTCTTTTACAACATCTTTAGGAAACTCAGCTAGTAACATCTCATCAATTGATTCAACAGAAAGAGCATGAGTCAAACGTTTCTTTCATCAATTATTTGTGTTCCGTTGTGTGAAACCCTATATACAAAAAAAGACCATATAAAAATTCAGTAAGAGCTATAATAGAGCTGGACAAACAATATTCAATAAAAAAGCAAAGTCTAGCAGTTAATATATAATATTCAAGACACTTTATGTATGTGTCTCTAAAACTTAGTGTATGGCACAAATATCTTATTTTCTTAAAAGTAATATGATTTTCACTCGATTGTTTCCGTTTAAAAAATTATGCAAGCTGACTGCTATGTGTGAGCAACTAATTCGAATAGAATATTTGACAACACGAAATACAGTAACATTTGTAAGAGATTACATGCAAATACAATTGCCACATGACACCAAAAGTCTCTAAAAAAATTCATTAGGTGGGTTTCTCTCATCACGCTTCTATTGACAACTCAATTATAAGTTCTTTCAAACAATGCCAAAAAAGATAAACCCCATCATGCCATGACCAAGTTGGTTTGATTGATATTTAATTTTTGATCTTTTACACATTGATTTTGCTTTCATATGATGGATAACTTGGTTGTGAATATTTGTGTAATGCTCTGAACTCTATGAAATCCCATTTATTATTATTATTATTTTAGTTCACCTCAAATGTTACTTGACATGTCCCTTCAGAAACATCCCGATAAACTCTTACTAGACGTAATCTCTTGATTGAAGCACACATTTGTCAAGAGGTCCTTAGCCTCTTGTGCAATGTAAGAAGTAATATGTTTCAGTCAATTCTATATATGAAAGTTGTAATTTTATACTCTACCAGTTGCATTGTATATCTCTCTACTTGTTTTCTTGACTTCCGATATTTTGTTGTATTCCTTGGCCGATCATTGCTTAGTTTCCATTTCAATTAAATTCTTGCATAATATTAGTGGATATGGATGAAAAGAAGACTTACAATGAGAATTTGATTTTGATCGACTTTTGGAATTCACCCATTAGAGGTTAGGTTATAGTATCATGCCTCAAACTCTAGTTAACTCATTATCTAAACAGCAAAACTCAACTGTCATACGGTAAGGTTAGCATACTCCCAGACGTACGCTAGCATAAACTATATATATTGAAATGAAAATCAACGATTCTGATTCGTCGAAATTATCATTGATTTTTATTTTAAGATTAAACGAATTATGCGGTTTGAGTTAGAAAATTAGGGACTAGGGTTCACCCATTAGAGGTTAGGGTATATTATCATGCCGCAAACTCCGGTTAATTCATGATTTAAATAGAAAAACTCAAACGGGTGTACTGCAGGTTAGCATACTCCCGTGCGTACGACTTCTATCGTACACCAGGAAAAAGTTGGTGTATGTCGTACACCAGCAATCTCCGTTGTCCGTATCCATCTCAACAGCCAGCATAAATGCAATATTTATTTTATAATCTCACAAAAAACAGAGCCCGCATTTATGGTGACTGTTGAGATGGACGCAAACGGTGAAGATTGTCTGGTGTACGACGTACATCAGTTTTTGGCTGGTGTACGGTAGAATCATCCATACATATAAATGTATGTCGAAACCCCCTTACTCAACAGCCCTTCGTACAACAAGCAATCTTTTGGAAAAAGTTGTATCAAGGTAGACTGAAACTACAAATATTGAATGAAAGGCTCTAGATACATTGTGAATAAGCGTTGTTTTACTATTCATTTGGGGAAGACGCGTATAGCACCGATCATAAGATAAAAAATGACTCACCCCCAGAAGGCAAAGTTGCAGGTTTGTAAATATATATATGGTAAGACTGTATACTCCACTTGATCTAGCCATTAGATATACTTTGTTGAATTACTGGAGGTTGATTGTCATGAATAAATCATGTTACTTTGATTTTTTTTTAGGGTAATGTATTTTTTATCCAAACCTTTTCAAATTCTTTTATATTATCCAAACGTATCGAAATACTCAGAATTAGCCAAATGTGAACTTTTAGTTAGCAATTTTGTTAGTAATATTGACTTGACAACATGATACTGATTTGAAAGAGATACACGAAGGTCAACATTCTAAAATTTTAGTATTCTAACTAAGAAAAGAGTTACAAAATTATTAACGATAACGTAAAAATGGCTAATATTTTGATGCATTATAAAAGATTTGGTTAATCAATAGAGTTTTAATAGGTTTGGATAATATAAAAAAATCTGGAAAAGATTTGAATAAAAAATATACATTACTTTTTTTTAAACAAAGTCATGTTGTTTTGAGATGTGTACTTATTTGTTTTTTTTTTTTTTTTTTGATAATGGTGAATTGCATTAAACCAAAAAGAGTATTACAAACAAAACATAAAGGGATAACAATAGAGGTTCACAAGGGATGAACCTCCCCCTAATGAACTGACAGAGAAGGAAAAATAAAGAGCAAAATAAAAAGAGCAAACACCCAACTAAGTGGATCGAGCCACTCCTGAAGGATCTCGAACACCTCAAGCAAATGCAACCAGAGACAATAACAGCACATAAAAACCATCAGTGCCAGGCCGCCCCCTCTCCACCACACCACTACTGCAGCAGGAAGCTATAAAGCAGCTACTAAACCATGGCAGCAACAATGTCCTCTCCATGTATGTTTTCCTTTGAATATTTCTTTGCAAGGTCGGCCCCTACACAAATTCACAGCCAAGTTCCGAATTCCATCCCGATCCAGGTGATGGGTGTCTGCAAATTTCAACCTGGCCGCCCCCTCTCCAGCCCACCACTACTGCAGCTGGAAACAAAAAAACAGCAGCTAAACTGTGGCAGCACCGTTGGCCTCTCACTCCCATTCGTATATGCCTCTCTACACGCAAATGCCACCCTCCTCACCTGCGTCCAAACCCTTTGCCTCCTCATGATCGTATGCATTCAGATGATCCCATTTTCTCTAAGCCATCTCGACCCTGGAGCCCCCTGTACTTTGCCATGTGCCACTACCCACTCCATCGCGATTTTGGCAGCTTTCTTGGCCACCACTGACACCGGCAAAGCCTTCTCTTCGAACACCCTCTGAATCCTTTCCAGCCATGTACACCACCACACCGCATATAACACACACGAGGAAAACCATTTCTCAGTCTCCTCCGAGCGAGTATCCTGCTGCCCAGGCCACAACTTAATTATAATGGCCACATCCCTTCCCTCTTCTCCTGTTACAATAGATGAGTCCCCATAAATCCATCACAAAAGTGCACCCCACAAATTTGTTGCAGTTTAGTTGACTACAAACCTTAGCTCCCACTCTAATGATTTGGATTAATATAGTAACGATGAATTTTTCATAAAAAAAATTTACTTAAATACTGATCTAGCTATAGAAATTTACCGTAGCTAAAATTGAGGAAAAAGATTTGGAAGATTTGTTACGTATCCAACCGCAAGCAAGATCCACGTGGCTGCTTCCCCACTTCATCACCTGAACGCAGCCAAAAATCCGAAGTTTTGAGAGAGAGTGAGAGACTCTTCACGAACCGTCCACACTCCTCCGTCGTCCCTCGCTAAAGCAAACTCTTCTCTTTTTCCTCGCCACTCTCAGAATCAATCCCTCAACCAAGCTACCCTTTCCCCATTAGCACGCAACTGGTTCGCATTCTTCATCTCATTCGCGAATTTCGCATTCTTCTCTATCAAGTACAATGGCGGCCACCGGTACCGCGTCTTTCGCCGGAGTCAGTTTGTGCCGCCGGCCGACGACTTCTCTCCGTATCCACTCCGCTTCCTCCACTCCCAACTCCATCCGCTCTCGCCCTACACTTCGTACTTCCTTCAACCCTCCTTTCCGTCTCAAGACCACCGGCGGCTTTTCCCACAGGACTCCACCTGCAAAGTCATTCGATGTTCGATGTGATGCTTCCAGCAGCGGAAGGGTGAGTGGAATTCGCATAGTCCTTCCTTAATTGTTTCGTGCTTTTTCTAAAGATTGGATTTTTCGACCCAATTTCGCAGATTACTCAACAGGAGTTCACTGATATGGCGTGGCAAGCGATTGTGTCCTGTCCCGACGTCGCTAAAGAGAACAAGCATCAAATTGTTGAGACCGAGCATTTGATGAAATCACTCCTCGAGCAGAAGAATGGTCTTGCTCGCAGGATTTTCTCCAAGGTCGGCGTTGATAACACTCGCCTCCTCGAAGCCACTGATAAGTTCATCCAACGCCAGCCCAAGGTATATACTTTTTACACTCTACTCTCATCCTTCATAGAAGCTTAACCTGCGTAGTTGAATGGCTTAGTTGCTCAATTACCCCAGCTCCACTACGGTGTAGCTAGTTTGCATTACTTGATTCTCTTCTATGTGTGGCAATGCCATTCCAGGTCCTTGGTGAGTCGGCTGGTTCAATGTTGGGTCGTGATTTGGAAGGATTGATTCAGCGGGCACGGGAATACAAGAAAGAGTATGGGGATTCTTTCATCTCTGTTGAGCATTTGGTTCTTGCTTTTGCTCAGGACCAACGATTTGGCCGCCAATTGTTTAAGGATTTTCAAATCTCTATTGCACCTTTGAAATCTGCAGTAGAGTCTATCAGGGGACGCCAGTCTGTAATTGATCAAGGTAACATCTTCTTTAGCATTTATGCATTTTTATGCCTGGTTGGCTCAGAAATGTTTGAACTTAGGTCATGTAGTCTCATGCTATAGAAGATTGGGATGCATAGTCTGGAACTCTTGAATCACTGTTATGTGATTCTCAGAAGTCTGTCTCATTTGATTGCATTTGTGCAGATCCCGAAGGCAAGTATGAAGCACTGGATAAATATGGGAAAGACTTGACTGCCATGGCAAGAGCAGGGAAATTGGACCCTGTTATTGGAAGGGATGATGAGATTCGTAGGTGTATTCAAATTCTTTCTCGGAGGACTAAGAACAACCCTGTGTTGATTGGTGAACCTGGTGTGGGAAAAACTGCAATTTCTGAAGGGTAAGGATTGGATTTTCTCATTCATAGAAAAGCAAGTTGATGATGGTTGTTACAAATAATATCTTGTTCTTGGATTGAAACATAGAAATATTTATTAATCGGATTCTTATTCGCCAATTGTGTTGAAGATTTTCTCATGATAGTTCTGAATTTAGATGGACTTAATTTGTTTGGCTATTCAATGTAAGCATTCTCTTTTATTTACTCCTTAAAAAAGCTGAGTCAATTAACCTCTTCTGACTCTTCTTTCAAAAAAAGGGGGTAAAGAAGCATCTTCTAACTCTTTATTTGCTTTTTGGGCAGGCTTGCACAGAGGATTGTCCAAGGCGATGTACCACAAGCTTTAATGAACCGCAAGGTGTGTTCTTGATATTAGTACCAAGTCATGAGATCTTTTCGAACGATTAGATGGTGCAGCTATATTCTTTAGTGTGAGTATGTGATGGACTCATAGTCCATGTGGAGACCAACGTGGCTGAATTAGCTCATGCCCATGCACGAGAAGGCCCAATAGTTTAGTTTTAGTTGCTTTGCTTACGTAGAAAGCACTAGTAGTTAGGATTTGATTTGTTTGAGATGTTTCTCATTATGATTTTATTAGAGGCTTGCTAGCCACTTCGGTTAGGATTAGGTGATAAACGAGATCACCGTAAGTGAATCTTGGATATCAGTAGGAGATACGGGAAATCATCTGATTTAATCTCGACCTCAAGTTTTTAGGATTTCTCCTCTATATAAAGGGGACTGAATGAAATAAGGACAAAGAATTATATTGAGAAAAAGGAACTCAGTTCCCGGCTTGTTCGAGCCTAAAACGAACACCTATCGTCACGTTGGAACCATTGTTCCAACACTATGAATTACTATTTATAGTTCTGATACCCGGTGGTGACATTCTGGTTTGATCTCGAACTGCAGCTGATATCCCTTGACATGGGTGCACTAATTGCTGGAGCTAAATACAGAGGAGAATTTGAGGATAGATTAAAAGCCGTACTTAAGGAAGTTACAGATTCGGATGGCCAGATTGTCCTTTTCATTGATGAGATACACACTGTGGTTGGGGCAGGTAACGGCTTTGCTAATATTCTTTTCTAGTTATTTATTTATTTATCTTAATGACTTCCTCACCTGAGTGATTAGTTTTCTCCAATGTGCTATTTGCTTATAGTTGATATTCTAAAGGCATGTATAATTGTGACGTCTAGTCTCGTGAGTGATGCTAATCTGGGTGGAAACTGAGACATGCTGACATCTCTTTTAGGGGCTACAAATGGTGCAATGGATGCGGGGAATCTTTTGAAGCCAATGCTTGGACGTGGGGAGTTGCGCTGTATCGGTGCTACAACTTTGGACGAGTATCGTAAGTATATTGAGAAGGATCCTGCTCTGGAGCGACGCTTTCAGCAAGTTTATGTCGACCAACCGACAGTGGAAAACACAATCTCCATCTTGAGAGGATTGCGTGAAAGGTATGAACTACATCATGGAGTTCGTATCTCCGATGGTGCTCTAGTGGAAGCTGCAATCCTTTCTGACCGCTATATCAGTGGGAGGTTCTTGCCTGACAAAGGTAAATTATTAGACTCTATGAATTTATATCCTTGGTTGCTGATAACTTATATGGTTTTGAGGTTCTTTCAGTCATAGGTTTTCTGTGGTTGATATGTTTGTTATGCATGTTGATTTACAGCCATTGATCTAGTTGACGAAGCAGCTGCAAAACTGAAGATGGAAATTACTTCAAAACCAACTGCTCTCGATGAAATCAACCGGACAGTGTTGAAACTGGAAATGGAGAGGCTGTCTCTCACTAATGATACAGATAAAGCGTCAAAAGATAGGCTGAGTCGCCTTGAGGGTGAATTGTCGCTGTTGAAGAAGAAACAAGCTGAGCTAACTGAGCAATGGGAGCATGAGAAATCCGTCATGACTCGTATTCAGTCAATTAAGGAAGAGGTAATCAGAAATCTTATTTGAATCTACCCTTCTCCTTCATCGCCAGTTTAATGTGAATCCACTGACGAGGCACATCTATTTTACACAGATAGACAGGGTCAACCTGGAAATTCAACAAGCTGAACGCGAATATGACCTCAATCGTGCTGCTGAACTCAAGTATGGCAGCTTGAACGCCTTGCAACGCCAACTTGAAACTGCGGAAGTAGAGTTGAATGAGTACATGAACTCAGGGAAGTCCATGTTAAGAGAAGAAGTTACAGGGGACGACATTGCTGAAATTGTGAGCAGGTGGACCGGCATTCCTGTCTTGAAGCTCAAGCAATCTGAGAGAGAAAAACTCCTCCATTTGGAGGAAGAATTACACAAACGGGTAATTGGTCAAGATCCTGCTGTCACCGCCGTAGCTGAGGCGATTCAGCGGTCTCGTGCTGGTCTCTCAGATCCCCGTAGGCCCATTGCTAGTTTCATGTTTATGGGCCCCACCGGTGTTGGGAAGACGGAACTTGCCAAAGCTCTTGCGTCATACTTGTTCAACACGGAGGAATCTTTAGTACGAATCGACATGAGTGAGTACATGGAGAAGCATGCAGTCTCACGACTGATAGGTGCCCCACCTGGCTATGTAGGGTACGAGGAAGGTGGCCAGTTGACTGAGATAGTTCGCAGGAGGCCTTATGCAGTCATTTTGTTCGATGAGATAGAGAAGGCTCATGCTGATGTGTTTAACGTCTTCCTTCAGATATTAGATGACGGGAGGGTGACTGATTCACAAGGTCGGACTGTTAGTTTTACTAACACCGTCATTATAATGACCTCGAATGTGGGGTCCCAGTATATTCTCGACACAGATGATGAGTTACCAAAGGAGGTTGCATATGAGACTATCAAGCGGAGGGTTATGGATGCTGCAAGATCGGTGTTTCGGCCTGAGTTCATGAACAGGGTCGATGAGTACATAGTATTCCAGCCTTTGGATCGCGAACAGATAAACAAGATCGTCAGGTTACAGGTGAGTTTGGTCTGATGTTTGGGTATGCGTGCTTCAGCTTTTTCTCCTAACAAATCAACTGAATTCTTTCCTGTATGAGGTATCTGTTTTTGCTAACCTCTTAAGGTGCACATTGTGCAGTTGGCACGCGTGCAGCAGAGGATTGCAGATAGAAAGATGAAACTACAGGTGACAGAAGCAGCAGTGGAGCTTCTGGGTAGCCTTGGATATGACCCAAGCTACGGTGCTAGGCCAGTGAAGCGAGTTATCCAGCAGAATGTCGAGAATGAAGTGGCCAAAGGTATCCTGAGGGGAGAGTTCAAAGATGAAGATACCATCGTAATTGACACAGAGGTGACGGCATTTTCGAATGGCCAGCTTCCTCAGCATAAGCTGGTGTTGAGTCGGCTCGAGGGTGACAGGGACGGAGCAGCAAGCGGCAGGGAGACCGCATCACGAGCTGCTGCTTGAATAAATGAATGAAGCTCTCCAATTATAGGTTAGAGGAGCGTTGTGTTTCTGTGTATTCGTGTACCTAAATGGGAACTACATGAGCTCAGGATAAAATGTCTATAGCAGTTAGCATGCCTTACACAAGTGGAATGTTATGCTTCTAAAATTTTGCTTATGATGAATAACCACTGGTGATTATGCCAGTCCCATTCAAAGCAAACCAAGAAGAAAGCGTCTATATATGCTAAAACGATATAATTCATCTCGTTAGAGGTTTGAATTTTTCGGGAACTGTTAGAGAATAGGAGAGACAGAGTACACAATTTAGCTTTCTTTTTCATTTATACATTCAGCCACTGACTCAAGATTCTGAGACTGGAGCAAATGACAATAAAATTAACATTATTGATTATTTGATTTTACAACAAATGAACACACCCTCCTCCATAAAAATCCTCTCTTTTTCCCCAAACCACCAAAAAGAAGAAAAAGAATAGTAGTGACAACAATGAATGCAGCAGCTGTTCTCTTCTCTTCTTTATACACTTACCATTAATCAAACAGCTACTCTCGGTACTCTTTTCTGATCTCCTCCTCTATCCACCCTCTCATTTTAAAGAAGCAAACAATTTTTAATCACAGAGAAAGAAAAATAAATACACACTCCATCCTATGTTCCCCACACTTGAAAAAAAACCCAGATTCTATATGCATTGCATTGATCTCTATTGGGAACGCCTGAATAACTGGCTACCCAGAGTCACGGTTGGGGCAGCACCTTCCCCCATTCCAGTACTGACCTTCATCTCTTTCTCCAGGATCCGGTCAAGCTCCATCACCACGTAGCTCATTGCTGGCCGCCTCTCGCTTGACCCTTCCAGACAACGAATCGCCAAACCCATCAGCTCCTCCATTCCTTCCGACGTGAAGCTGCTCCCCAACCTCTCGTCAACCATTCGGCTGCTGATGCCTCCCTCAACACTGTTTTGCACCTTCATTAGAGTCACATAATAGACAGTCACATTCAACTCAATCCATGTAACTTGATCACTGTTCACATTATCAAATATATATTTTGTCTTGGAGAATGGCTCTTGGCTTACCCATTCTGCCATGTTCTTGTCTGATGCTTCCCTTCCACTGATTAACTCCACCAAAAACACACCGAAACTGTACACATCACTCTTCTCTGAGAATTGCCTGAATTCCCTCACCCTGCATCCCCACACAATGTAAACTCTCAGTGTCTCTTTCTTGAAGTACTGATTAGGTTAGGACTTAGGGTGTATAAATTGTGGGAAATTTTTTGAATTTTGCTGAAACAGCCCTACTCTGGGGCAAGATATATCTCGTCAACTGCCACTTGTGTTGAAGGACCTGCTCCACCCTCACCTCCTCTTCCCAGGAAATTACGAAGCCCTGCATCTGCTACCTTGGCTATGAAATTTTCATCCACCAGCACATTTGTAGTCTTGAAGTTCTTATGCACTAATCGAGGTCTCAGAGCATGAAGATAAGCAAGACCTGGACAGCACGAAAAAAATATAATATGAGACAGTCTCTCAATCCAGCTCCTTTTACACTTATCGTATAAAGGCGAAGGACCTATCCATCGCTCTAAAGGCTCAACAGGCTTAAAAGAAAAAATCTTTGCAGTATGAATAATAAAATGCTTGCTCATCCTCTTTTAAGGTACTTAAACCAGATATAGATCATCTTAAAGTTGAAAAGGAGCAACTAATACCAGGAAAGCCAAAATTGTCACTGATTTTGCAGAGGATCACCTTTAGCTGCCCCTAGAGCTATTGCAAGTCTATGCTTGAATTCCAGCTGCCCATTTGATACTTGACCTAGCCCTGACATTAAAATTTCAACCTTTTTCATGAGAAACACAATTTTACAAAGGACATATTAACACACACTAACTTCAGAATGCATTTAGCTTCTCAGCTGCAACATTGATCTCAAAGACATGAATATTGGGGACTGGATAGATATAGTTACCATACAAGTGATTGGAAACGCTCCCATTAGGTACATATTCATAGATGAGGAACTGCATGTTATTCTCTTGGCAATATCCGAACAGAGTCACGATATTCCGATGTTGGATAGCTGAAAGATACCGTGCCTGATAAATTTAATTCAGCAGAATAGGATCAAGCAAAGAACAATGCACAGGGATCCCACTTTATTGGAGAAGTTACATTACTGCCTAATCTATAATGGTATACTGGGGAAAACAATTAAGAAGATACACCGCAGATACCCATCCCACAATCAGAAAGAAACTATGGTCACACTGTCTAGACTAATCCAAGTAGCTGCATTGCAAATGAGAATGATCAAATCAGTACCTCATCCACAAAATCTTGAGTAGGAGCTCCAAATCGGCTCTTCACAGCAACAAGCATCCCATTGTTGAGCAGACCCTTGTATACCTCACCAAATTTGCCAACGCCAATTAAGTTCTGGTGGCTGAAATTCTTGGTGGCCAGAGACAACTCTTCCATGTCAAACTTCTTTGCCTCTGGTACAGACAGCTCAACCCCAACATGCCTTCCAGCTGAAGACAACGACCAACAATAAAAAGATTACAAGATTAGAGAAAGAGGGGTAAAGCAAAAAGGGAATCACATCAGCGAAACTTGGGGGTGGTGGGGAAATTAGATACCTTGAACAGATGGGTCAGAAGATCCAGTCTCGGAGGTTCTGGAGACACTCTTGTTTTTGCGGCTGTAGCACCATATGCAAAAGGTTATTACCCCAACCAATGCCACGGCTCCTGCAACACCACCTACGGTGATTGCAAGAGTCTTTGACATATGGTACGGGAACCCAGTTTCCCACTACTGAAGCCAAATCAATTAACCACTAGCCAGCAACGAACATTGATTGAAGCTGCATTAAAAGAGCATAAAGGATTATTAGATAAGACAGCAAAAGGGCAAGGCAGGAGGAGAATTGGAAGTTAGAGCTGGAAAAAGGAATGCTATGTGGAAACATGGTATCTGGGAGAGAGGTTAAACTACAATACAGATGCATTGCCATATCCCATCTCTATCTATGTCAGCAAGCATGAAGAAGGACAAAAAGGATCAAGCTTTAAGAGATGTAGGTGAATTGAGGAAGGAAGGAACCTGAATAGGGAAGTAAGCAAGCAGAGCAAATGATGGGGTGACGGATGGTTCGATCGATCTTCAATGAGAAAGTAAATTAGAGCTTGGGAAGGCGACAGCTGAAGCAGAAGAATGAGTAATCAATTCAGCCGCATTTCCCAAATGCAATGCAGTTTACAAATCAGAAAGGCCTGAAGAGACTTGCTGGAGAGAGGCTATCAGCTGAGTTGAGTTGAGGGGAAAGGAAGAAACAAAGACAATGAATGGGAAACAAAAGCAAACAAATCAATCAAACCAACCCACACAAAAAAAGAAAGCGAAATGGATGTGCGGTGTGGGGTTTATCTGTTTAATGGGTGGGGTGGGGGTGGGGGTCTTCCGTTCATTCTGCCTTGTTGTTATGCCACTGGAAGGAAGGAACTATGGGCTGGAAAAAGGAAGTCAAGCAGAGAAATGGTAAGCATATATATAATTTCTTCCAGCTTGCAACAGTTCTGATTACTTTGATAATGTTATTCCTTCGATCATTGAACTTAGATTGAATCAATCTTCAGAGACCGTTTTCAAGTGCTTAAAATACAGTAGAGTTGGTAAAGAATAGAGCGGCGGAGTAAATAAATAATGGGAAAGGGGGAGAATCATGGTTGGGATACAGACAATACCGACAGATAGTGACAGAACGGCCTGTAAGGCTGGCTGACTGGCTGGCGCCGACAACCAACCCCAACCTTTGAGAACCCATTTACCTAAACAAAGAATTGACAGTGAAGAGTACCAGTATAGATGGAAAAGGAGGGAAGAGCCCCCAAAACCCAGGTCGAGCAGAAGAATCCCGGCAAGAAAATTCGTTCGCCGGCAAACCTTCCTCCCATTCTGATGCATGTGTTTCTCCCCCAGCACGAACTGCAAAACTCAGTAGCAGACAAGATTCGCTGATAGAGCTTTCGATTCTGAGCCGGTCGGGGAGATGAAGCCGAAATCGATAATGACTTCTGCTCTGCCATGGTTTTTCATATCGGCGGTTGTTCGGAAGCGGTAATCGGAACAGCTGTACTCGCGCGTTCCCGGGAAAGTAAAAGATTAGAAAAATTAAGCAAAAGGACGATAGGAGAAAGTGGGGAAAGAGTTGGTGAAGAACGGTTGGCACAAACGACAAAATAATGAAACGGTAAATTGGGTAACACGTAACAAAAAGAGAACTAGATACAAAGTCGTTTAATTTACAAGAAAACAGAGACATCAAGTCGCTTTAGATTGTAATAATGATGCGAAAACATATCGAAAGTTATAATGGAAATTTTAATGATAAGTTATTTTGTATTAAAATTATGGTTGAATTGTAATTGAATCGTTTCATATTATTAAAATTGTCTATTGTTTGGGTTTAGTATCCAATATTTCTAGATTGATCGGTCGATACGATATAGTTCCTAAAACATTGATAAAATCAGTCAACCATTCGCTCACATGGTAGATATGGTTGCAAATGAACCAAGTCGCTCACGAGCAACTCGAAAATCGAATCGAAAAAAATTCGTTCGACACTTGATTTGGTATTTGACAAGCCAACTCGTTAGTAAAAAACTCAGCTTGATAAGCTCATGAGATAGCTTGACTCAATGGCTTGTTGAGCTAAGCTCACGAGCTTATTAGAGATTGTGGAATGATTAATTACTCCTCCGAACATGAAAAATTATCTCGCTAATACAAATGTGTATTGAAGTTAGCTGTTATTTTTAGTTTCTATGGTTCTTTTTACTCATTTACATTCTTATGCGTAAAATCTTTCAGGAAGAATGATTTAAAATCGAACTCATCTTGAGCCGAACTTGTACTTAGCTTGACAAGCTGTGTTGATGAGCATTTACAGAGCTCAAACAACTCCATAATCATTTGAGGGCTTGAATTCTCTATAGCAAGGGTGAAAGCTGCACAGCTTACAAATCCAACTCATCTCATCCTGTGTGCAATTTTACTTGAGGACCCGAAATTCCAAACTCGAAAACCTGTACAACAAAATGGCATGGACAAAAACTTCATATATTACTGCAAACTGCAGAAGACATGTGGAGTTGCATCTGCATCAAGTTCTTCACATCATCCCTCGACTCTTCCTTATTTCGGTGGACGAAATATCCATGCGGAACATCTCAGCTGGTATCGGCACAAACATGTCCTTCAACTCCTCCGGGATCTCCAAGTCCCCAAGAACCTTAGTAGTAAACAAAGCAAGCTATCTTTATATGATAACAGCAACATCAATTGGTAATCAAAGAGAGGTCTCAAATTCAGGCAGAAGCTGCAAGTTAGTTAGTCACTGTACCTTGAAAACACCATCGGTGCTTCGACCACCCACAAGAAAAGTGCAGCCTCTTGCTTTGCATGCTCCAAGGATCTCAAGCATCTTTCCATAGCTTCCATCGTAATATTTGGGCTGCAAAAAAGAAGACGACAAGCAAAGCCGATAGTAGATCAATCAAAGTTGCATCAGATGACTTTCTGTTCTGTCCAACCCAACTAAGTCTAGCAGTATTAGATCAAACGAAAATTGCAGTAGAATCTGAAACCGAGCTGGAGTCGAGTAGCATACATTTATCAACCTTGCTGCTGTATCGGCACCAATGACGAAAGCACTGCCAGGGAAGAGCTCAGCCTTCTTATAAAAAAAGGGCTGGTTAGAAATGATTACAGTTTTGCCTGTCATCAAAAGCTACAACTCAGACACAGGTCATCAAAGTACCAAAAAGAAAAAAAGGCTCATGAGATTCTGTGCAAACTCAGAAGGGAACATATCATCATCGTGTAAAGAAAGTTCAAATGGCTCACCAACATTTTCAAACTGCTTCACCCGATCTTTGATTTGGGATACAGTAAGAGGAGGTTTGTCTGCATTTATCGCTGAAATTTCATAGCATGGATAGCCATTGCCACAAAGGCTACATAAAACAAGTGAGAAGTAAGAAGTTATGGTATTTGCTCTAGTAAGCATCGGCATAACATAAACGTCTGAGAATTGATAAATGCCGTTTCAAGATGTTCAAAAGACAAATTTAACACATGATGGAAGCATATCCAGCTACCTAGTAGCGACCTCCAGAAGCTTGACGTGACCATCATGCAAAGGGTTAAAAGAGCCAGGAAGTATGATCTTTCTCTCACCATTTGGTGAATCTGTCAAGCAAAACAATCGTTAGAAAATAATTAGGAAGCCCGAATCACCACGGTGAGTCTGTTGAACCTAAGGATGCCACCTGAAAATGGGTAAATCTTGAAGCATATTTGACCGTCTATGACTTGCTGTAGCTCTTCATCTTCTGTGAACTTCTTTTCATGTTCATCCAATGAGTCTGATTCAGATAAGGGAGAACCAGATGTTTGCTGGACGACTTTGCATGCTTTTGACAAGGCCTAATTGTTAAGACAGGAAAGAAGTTTGAATCAGTGACTGCTGGCCACATGGAGACTTATATCGCAGGACATCTAATCTGTGTTGGAATGTTTTCACATTCTTGTGCACCTTCAGTAAGAATTGACTTGACACTGTATCTTCCTGCTCTCGAGATCGCATTCCCTAGATTAAAACCACATTGCACACCAGAATCGATAAACCATGCAACGAAGAGTCACAGCATTATTTGAAGAGTACCACAACTACCTTTGACAATGTAACTGTTGACGCGTAAAGTCGGTTAGATGATCTTGTAGATAAATGAAACCTGAAAAGAAGCCACCGAGCTGCATATATCAAAATCAGATACATGTAGAGCCAAGCAATGCTTTCTGAAAATAATACCTGTGATCTCCAAGTTTTGGACGTGAACTTGCAAGAGATCCAGTGAAACCCACACCAACAACAGGAGCACCTATGATAGGAACAATTGGGTTGACATAAATAGACTACCTCCCTACTCCAGACACGTAAACAACCTTTCTGTTCTGATATTATAGCAGCAGCATTGCAGTTGGTTAAATATACTGAAGAATGTTGGTGAAGAAGAATCATTACCAGGGGAAGAGAGCTTAAGAGCCCGATTGTAAGCCAACAAAGCCATCTCCTCCGCTGTTTGCTGGCTACAGTAACTTGCAGGAATCTGAAAGAAGAGAAACATCACATGGTTGGTTTTAACATCTGAAACCCAATATAAAAGGAAGGAAAAAGACCTAATAGATAGAGTGCTCGGGAGTAAAAGAAAAACCTTTCCGAGTAAATCAACCATAGAGACTCTCGAGTATGGCACCAGAGCTTCAAGGACTGTAGAGGTAGCTCCGGGGACGGACATCAACAACCCGAGACTCTGATCATCATCATCCGAAGTCAAAATTCAACCAGACAGGAAGAGAGAGAAAGAGAGAAGTTTCAGGAAGAGATAAAGAGAGAGAAGAGACCTGAGACGCGCCGCCGGAGAGATAAATTGCGGCCTGAGAAGGGGTAGAGTGGATGGCTTCAACGACTGCACGAATCCAAGCTTCCGTCATTTTCATCTACCTTTCCTCCTTCGTTCATTCCAGTTTTCCTTTTGTCCTCTCTTCCTTCTCTTAAAAGTTTTTAGTTTTTTACAAAATTTTGTAACAAACGTGGTAAAAAATCCAAAAGTACCACTATTTAAAAAAAAATTCCAAAAATATCACCATTTTTCAAAAACCGCCACCCCACCCTACGGTTTACACGAAAACCATTTGTCGGGTCCCAAAAGTACCACTGTTTAAAAAAAAATTCCAAAAATACCACCCAATCCAAAAAAATTCCAAAAATATCACAATTTTTCAAAAACCGCCACCCCACCCTACGGTTTACACGAAAACCATTTGTCGGGGGCGCGGTTTTCTATGCAAACCGAGGGCCTAGGGGCGGTTATTAAAAAAAAATTTGGATCAAACCGCTGGGTGGGGTGGTGGTTTGACCCAAAACCGCCACCCCACCCAGCGGTTTGGTCTAAATTTTTTTTTTTCGATCAAACTCCTAACTTCTGCCGAAACTTCAAACGAACGTAACTTTGCACTCGGGTATCCGATCGATGCGATTTTTTTTTCTTCATTTCGAATAATATTTCAAGATCTACAACTTTTAGTAGGATGAAATTTTCAAAACAGGAACTATTTGTGGATATACGGGACCTTGAGAATAACTTTACCTTTACTTTTCACAAATCCATGTACATTTTGAAATTATGATTATAGTAAAAGTTGTAGATCTTGAAAAGTTATGCGGAATAAAAAAAAATTCATAACATTCGGATTTTGGAGCACAAAGTTATGACCGCCCAAAGTTTGACGAAATGCGAGACCCGGCGGTATGCGGCTTGCAAGATCTCAAAAAGTTTGCGGCCTCCATTTTTTGAATCCGAATAAATTTTTGAGATCTTGCAAGCCGCAAACCGCCGGGTCCCGCCTTCGTCTCGAAAAAACGTCATTTGCCACCCCGAACGAGGCTTTTTTTTTATTTCGTCAAACTTTGGGTGGCCATAACTTTGTGCTCCAAAATCTGAATGTCATGAATTTTTTTTTTGATTCCGTATAAATTTTCAAGATCTACAACTTTTAATATAATCATAATTTCAAAATGTACATGGATTTGTGAAAAGTAAAGGTAAAGTTATTCTCAAGGTCCCGTATATCCACATATAGTTCCTGTTTTGAAAATTTCATCCTACTAAAAGTTGTAGATCTTGAAAAGTTATGCGAAATGGAAAAAAAAATTGCATCGATAGGATACCCGAGTGCAAAGTTGCGTTCGTTTGAAATTTCGGCCGAAGTTAGGAGTTTGATCGGAAAAAAAAAATTTGGACCAAACCGCTGGGTGGGGTGGCGGTTTGGTCCAAATTTTTTTTTTTTTAATAACCGCCCCCTAGGCCCGCGGTTTGCATAGAAAACCGCGCCCCCGAAAAACGATTTTCGTGTAAATCGCAGGGTGGGGTGGCGGTTTTTGAAAAAAGATGGTATTTTTGAAATTTTTTGGGATTGTATGGTATTTTTAAATTTTTTTTTTTTAAACAGTGGTACTTTTGGATTTTTTTCCCCAAGCTATAATTATCAAACTATAGTATAGCACTGTACGAAGTGTTGGCTGTGGCACTTGGCATTGACCAACAGCATCGGCCCATTTTCTCCCCACAACAAAAAAACAGAAAGGACGAGGATAGCAAGAAGAGAGCAGGGGATTCCCCGCGCAAAACCACTTGGGTGGCGGGAGACGGAAGAATTCATAGGCCGGCGGTCACTGAGCTTTGTGCTGTCCGGCGGGGGAGATGGGGAAGAAGCAGCACTTGGATTGGACAGCCAAATCAATTTCCTCCACTGGCTCCGAGAGAGTGTCCCTCTTATCTAAGCAGGTTTGCAGCTTGCTTTCTTTGTAGGCTAAGATTAACGAAATTGAACGATTAAACAGGTGATTTATCAGAGAAAGTGAAATTGGTATAGGGAAAGAGAAAAGCTAGTGCAGAAGACCAATCTGATGACGCCCCTGCAAGTGATCTTGAGCATGGAGCTGGGGAGGTAATATAAGGCTCTTCCCTTTTCGTCATTTCTTAACTCCCATTCTTTGCATTTCTGCCAAAGCTACTAACTTCGTATCTGGGTTCAGGCGGCGAATGTTGGGTTTGGTCGAGTTCTTTCACTGGTAAGAAACCCATCTCCACTTAATTATGATGATATTTCTTTCCCACTATGTATTAATCATCTCCCAACTGCTGCATTATTACTTTGCAGGCAAAACCTGATGCTGGGAAGCTAGTCATTGGCACCATAGCATTGTTGATATCGTCCACCTCAAGTCTTCTTATTGTAAGTCTTTGATGTTTTTCTTCAAACCAACGCTGCCTCTGTGAAATTTATTGGAGTGAGTTAGATAGAACTTTCCATTTGTTTGATAGCTGGAGACTACTAGTTTGAATTTTTGAATTTCACTGCTCAGCTGTTTTCTGGGATGTTGATACCTTTTAACATACTGTGAACTACTTACTGCAGCCAAAATTTGGTGGAATCATAATTGATGTAGTATCAAGAGACGTAAAAACTCCGGAACAGCAAGCAGAAGCTCTGGATGCAGTCAAGAATACCATATTAGAAATATTTCTCATAGTTGTGATTGGGTATGTCACAGCGTTGTTCTCGACTTTCCTTGTTTAACTCGTAGCTTATATAGGTGGTGTTGGGCTGTTGGCTCAATACTGGTTTTACTGCAATTTCACATACAATACCATTTTGGCACTTGTCAAGGGGTATTGCTGATATGGAAAAGGAATCAGCTGCTTAGATATCTATACAACTGAGCAGCTAAGGTTGATCATGGATGTTGATAGCTTTTGACACCTATTACCATGGCTGTGTTTCTGAAGGTTCTTACTTATGCCTCTTAGAGGTCTTGTTAATTGGTGCTTCCCGCCTAGTTCTCAGGTCTATTTGCACAGCAATTAGAGCGTGGTTATTTGCTTCTGCGAGTGAAAGAGTTGTGGCTCGTCTGAGAAAAGATTTATTCAGCCATGTTCTCAATCAGGCAAGTAGTTTGTCAGCTGAAGTGACATCCTGTGAATGCTTATTTCGTGTTCTACAAGCTACTTACCTGCATTTGACCTTAACATATGAGTGTATACGTAATCAACTTTTATGTTAGTTATTCACAATAATATTCTTTCTTGCTGCCATGGAACAACAGGAAATTGCCTTCTTTGATGTTACAAAAACAGGCGAACTTCTAAGCAGGCTATCAGAAGACACTCAAATTATAAAAAGTGCAGCAACAACTAATCTTTCTGAGGCACTGCGTAATGTAACAACTGCACTGATCGGTGTTGGTTTTATGTTTTCATCATCATGGAAGCTAACATGTAGGTAATCTCGGTAAACCTAAACGAAAGTGTTCTATCTATTTGATGCTTTTCTTAAAAGAAATACTCTGCTGAGCTATGTTTTGGTTGTGTTGCAGTATTGTCTCTAGCAGTGGTGCCTATTATTTCAGTGGCTGTAAGAAAATTTGGACGCTATCTTCGTGAACTCTCACATTCTGTTCAAGCTGCAGCTGCTGTTGCTGCTTCAATAGCTGAGGTTTGGAAGCACCACCTATCTCTTCTTTTTCTATTCCACTAGTCTAGTAACAGATTTATCTCCTGTCATAATATGATGTATATTGAACTAATTTCTACTAATGTAGGAATCTTTTGGAGCTATTCGAACAGTTAGATCTTTTGCGCAAGAAGGATATGCAATTTCTCATTATTCAGAAAAGGTTGATGAGACACTGAAGTTGGGACTCAGACAAGCCGTAAGTCTTACTCCATTCCATTTCTCCCAAAAATAGGCTTTACAGATGTGATGGTCGTAAACTGTTTCCTCTCTCTTTTGTCTCCAGAGAGTAGTTGGCTTATTTTTCGGAGGACTGAATGCAGCATCCACGTTGTCAGTCATGATAGTTGTGATTTATGGAGCATACTTGACAATAATGGGCAACCTGACAGCAGGCGCTCTTACGTCTTTTATCCTTTACAGCCTCACAGGTTAAGATGCACCAGGGCACTCGGTTCTTTATATCTCAAACTGAAACAAGCATTCCAAGCTACTTTTGTTTTATTTATCAGCTTATATATGTGTCAAATAACTTGTAGTTGAGACTGTAAAAAAAACTTGTTACTGATATGCATTAGGCGTTGTATTGACTCATTTTTTTGTCAATTTTTGTGTGCAGTTGGCTCTTCAGTTTCTTCTTTATCAGGGTTGTATACAACTGCAATGAAGGCTGCAGGGGCAAGTAGGAGAGTCTTTCAGCTGTTAGATCGCGTCTCAACCATGCCAAAATCTGGGGATACTTGCCCTATAGGGTTAGTTTTTTGTCTGTCTTTGTTACTGTCTTCTGATTCATTGCGCATAACTCTAACCAAAGGAATCAGCTTGAGTAAAGCTCAGACACAATTTAGTTGGTACTCGCATGCCCCCTTTATCAGAATTAATCTTACACCAACTCTGTTAAGTGTTGTCAGTGATCCTGATGGAGAAGTAGAACTGGACGATGTTTGGTTTGCTTATCCTTCGCGTCCAAGTCATATGGTGCTCAAGGTAACTGATTCTCTCAATGGTTACCAATGGAAAGAGGTTGCATTATTACGATTATATCTCATCAAAATGATACCTCAAGCTCCAAAGGGTTTCATTATAGCAAGATAATTTTGACGTTAAAATTGTATGTTTAAACTGTAGGGCATATCATTGAAACTGAAACCGGGAGCAAAAGTTGCTCTTGTTGGTCCAAGTGGTGGTGGCAAGGTATAATACCCATTCTGCATTTGCCACTATCAAGTCATCTAGTCCCAGTATCGAGTGACTTATTGCATGAACTGTCATGGATATACCGATTTTTGTTACATGCCAAACCTAGTTTGCATTTGTTTAAAGATTGCTTCTTTGGGTGTCATCTTACTGCAGACCACAATAGCAAATTTGATTGAAAGGTTTTATGACCCACTCAAAGGGAGCATTTCGCTGAATGGAGAGCCATTGGTTAATATATCACATGAGTATCTTCATAGAAAGGTATTATATTTGTTCTTTATGGTGTGACGAATGACAAATTCACGCTCTTTTTTCTCTCTATGAGATTCACCGTCTCGTATCTACCTGACCATTCCGTGTTCGTGGGGGATGCAGGTTAGTATAGTAAGCCAGGAGCCGGTACTTTTCAACTGTTCAGTGGAAGAGAACATTGCTTATGGGTTCAGTGGCAAAGCTAGCCGTGCTGAGATAGAAGCCGTAGCTGTGAGTAATTTACCGTCTTATCTGGTTCCTTAATGGTCTTTTTAATCATATGAGGACATCACTTACAAGACA